ACACACACACACACACACACGAGTAAAAATTTGTGGAGTATATGCTGGTTCCAGAGCATCAAGACAAACTACTGGTGGAGAAACAGGATGCCGGAGATGGTTCCCATGAGGCCTTTACAAAGAACCAGCGTGTGAGATGTGGCTGGTCTGTGGGATTTACTCCAGTTCCTCAGAAGGGAACTCACCACAGGTGGCTCCGTGGGGCTAGAGAAACAGCCCTGATTCCTTCCCCACATCTGGTTGGTCAGCTCTGGGTAGCAGAGGTCAGCACACAAAGCCACTGGTGTGGCCATGTCTACCACGTAGACAGGCGGCCAATGGCGGGAAGAGACAAGCAGATCCACATGGTCGAGAGCGCTCTCACCCCGCACGAGATACTTGGAGCCACAGACCACCTGGGAGGGAAGACGGGATGGAATGCACAGCACAGGGTTAAGAAGCCCATCTGCAGAGAGACTGAGTCAAGTTCTCACTCACTTCTTCCCAGGAAGACCAACAATCAGGTTTCATGACTGAAGCCATGGCCATCCTGCCAGAGCCCATTCTGCTTCTCTCTTACTTCTGCCCCTAAATGAAGTTGCCAGCTCATCCCTACCCTCCGAAGAGTTGGGAGCATCCAGTCCTCAACTGAGGCTGAAAGGCACCCCAGGGCATCTGTTCCAAACCCCACCCATCCAGCGTAGGATGGTGCACTAGATAGGGGGTTCCCAGTCCTGCTGTACAGCACCAGCAGCTAAGGGCTGGTTAAAAACAGAAGTTCCTGGGGCCCACCCCAAACTTAAGGAATTAGCCTCTGGGGGTGGGGTCTAAGCATCTGCATTTCCAGCTGCTCTCCATGAGACCCCAGACGGGAACCCATCCACTAACAGGAACCCCCGACGCCACTCCGTTGCTGGGCAACTCCATGTACACTGAAGAATCCTGCCTCTGCCTCTACCTCCCTATCTTCACATTCACCAGTCCTGGCCGTCACCACCAAGTGAAACCACTCCACGATCACAGCCCTGAGATGGACAGCCCCCATGTCCCTGTGCTGTCAACTGCTTCTCATGAAACGGTCCCTAGTCACATGAACACAACCCTCTGAGCAGGCTCTGACGGGCCCAGGGTAGAGGCATCAAACTTCTCCCTCAGAGAATTCTCTTTTGACAGCTAGGTTGCCCTACCACTCACATACCTCAGTGAACTGAAGGCTCTGCTGAGCCATCTCTCCCCCATTTAGTACTCGTTCCGGGAGGTTTCTACCCCAGTATCTTTCTGGGCCTACTCTGTCATATAGGACATGACCTTCTCAGAGCTATCCCAGAGCCTACCCTGTCCACATCCTCTACAGACATAGGGAGCGATCTTCCTAAAATCAAAATCAGACCATGTCGCCCCCATTTCCCATTCGAAACAGTCCAATGGGTCCCTTATCATTCTCAGAAGAA